TCGTACCACAAAGGAGAAGCTCCTCCTTCAGAAACAGGAGGATCCAGTTTAACTTCTGAGGACAGGAAAGCAGCAGAGACACTGATTAACTGGATGCACCACTGATGATACAGCCATTAACTGTCATTCAGTGAAGCACAATGGCCTCTTGTGGTGGACTCAGAGCACTGAATTTATTATGGGTTCATTAGCTTAATGATTTTATTTGTAAATCTGTTCTGTAACTCAGGATCCAATCACTTATTATTTTCTTGTTTCTGACAAAAACATGCCAGTAAATCTTCATTTAATGAAAGCTTAGATGCCACCTTGAAAATTCAGTATAAACCTGAGTAGTACAATGTTGAGCAGCAAACAGGCTGCTAGGTGATCATTCTTAGACAGGAAGTTGCTGTTGCTAATCAATAAACAGAGAGGGGATCATGGTTTCATCCCTGCGCTGCCCATCTGACAGCTACAGGACACATTTTTGTAGCATCTGATTTATTACTGTTGTTGTGCGGCACCACAGCTTCAGCCCGAAACAAAGGCCAATTTGTATTCAGCTCTGAAATATGCATTAAAACTCTAAAACTGCAATAAAAATAAAAAAATAAAAAAATCACTAGCAAATATTGCATAACAAGCTGTACTCTTCAAAATGTATATTTGGTAAAACAGCTAAAAAAAACTGCTTTCAGAACTTTTTTTCCATAATTATGTTTATTTATTAATATTTAATAATATTTTAAATACAATAGAAAACTTCTAAATTAGGAAGCTGTTTATGTGGCAGCTTTCAGCTGGTGACTGAGTGACTCGGCCTCTGACCTGCTGCTGGTGAAGGGCAATTCCAGTCCCAGAAAGTACAATAAATCAAATACGATGTAGAGGAGAGTGACAACCGGAAGAGCAGAAAATCATTATAGATGATTCATTCATTCATTCAAGAGTGTAAATGCAGTGAATAGAAGCCTTATTAGTGTTTTACACTTTTTTCACTGACATTCCTAATGGTATGATATTGAATAGTATAATGGTAAGTATGCAAACTGATCCAGATTAGCAAGATCTCTGCAGCCAATCCAAATGTGTAAGTAAACGGACATACAGATAGCAGATTAAAGGAAAACCCTGAATGCTTGACCCCTACAGTGAGGCTGGTGGCTCTGTTATGCTGTGGGGGACATTTTGCTAGCATGGTTTGGTTTAGAGGGAAGGGTCACTGCAAATCAATACAAAATTGTTCTGAGTGATCACCTTTATCTCATTCTGAGGAGGAATGGTCTCTTCTACGATGACAGTGCCCCTCATCCACAGAGCACAAGGGGTCACTGAATGGTTTGATGAGCATGAAAATGATGTGAATCATGTAATATGGCCTTTGCAGTTACCAGATCTCAACCAGGCGAGCGCCTTTGAGAGATTTTGGAGCAACATGTTAGACAGCACTCTCCACTATCACCATCAAAACATCAAATGAAGGAATGTCTTTTGGAAGAATGAAAACATCTTACTAAGAGACCTTATGTCAGTTTGTCACCTGTCAGTACGTTCAAACTCAAGGGGTGAATCTTATCAATTTTCCCAAAACCTACAAGAAAACAAAACCTTTTTGTTCCTGGACAAACTGGGAAAACATTTTGTTCTGCCAGTGTCCCCAGCTCTGTTTCAGCCAGTCGTTCTCCAGGCCTCCGCTGTTGTACAGCCGTTCTGACCTCTGAGATTTGGGGGATGTGATAGGAGTCGACCTGTCAGTGTCTCCCTCAGGGCAGAGTAGTGACATTTAACTCAATATCCCAGCAGGATAAGGTTTCTCCGTCGTTCCCCTCCATCTACTGCCTCTGTCTATCGCTGAAGTGTCAGTACCCTAAGTGTGCAGGGACTACTACAGCTACTACTAAAACCCTGCAAACTGGGACACCTATCATCTCCAGCTCGCTCTGTGGAACTAACATGCCACACCCTTGTACCAGGCTGAGGGCTCAAGCCCTCGCTCCTCCACTTGTGAACTCTATACATGCTCCCAGTTGTCCAAAAGCGTGAAGTACTAATGGTGGTGCAGCTGTACATATGTCTGTCTTATGTAACAGAGACTGTAACTGCTGACTTGCACGGCACATGCAAAGTGAGAGGGACAAGGTGACATTAGTTACTTAAAGATGTGTGGCAAGGACATACTTCCTGAAATAGGTTATCATCATTAATAGTACATTATGTGGGTTGTCCAGCTGAACAATATCATCCAACTGTGCGTAGATATTGAGTGTAATTCTTATGTTTGAGTCTTTTCTTGTTCTAACAACGCTCTCAGTTCTACAGGTTCTATGTTAAAACAGCAGCACTAGCATCTTAACTGCACTATGTCCAGTTTGGATTCATAACCTGCATGGATTTTTTTTTTTTTTTTTGCAAAATGAATTTTGGACAAATGGCCGCAAC